TAAATTTAAAGCAACAGACTGTTTCCTGATGTGCCATCTAAGCGTTAAAGGATAGCACGGGGAGAGTTCCATATGAAATGCTTACTACTCTTCCGCTGTTTTCAAGCTGAGATGAAAAGCCTGAGATCGCACCTTTGAATTTCAAAGCGATCTGACTTAACTACTCTCAGCAATGTCAGATAGGAGGGGGAGTCTTGCTCCTCTTTTGCATAACATTCTTGACTGGCTTATACTGGTCAGCGGATCAGTGGTCCAGTTTCCTATAAAGTTAGCCTATAAACATCTGGTACAAGTTTCCATGCATGGTCCAATAATACCATCGGGACCAGTAATGGGCTAGGGACCATCCTGCTGTGTTACGCTGTGTGTGTAAAAGCCCAAACACAGTATGGGTCAAGCCATCAGAAGGAAATTTTGTTCCAGGATCCCAAGTGGGGGACAGGGGAAGCAAATCATCCTTGCAAACATGTGGTGGGTTGGAAACCCCCGTCTCTGACAATTACATATCCTCCATTTTGTTGACCTTCCTCTACCTCTCCTCCCCCCTCCGGTTCTGTGACTAAGTTTTATATGGTACTATATCAGATCCAGGCAATGCAGTTTTGGTCCATATACAGAATAAAAGAGATGCAATGGCATAAGAAAGGGCAGGAGTGGAGACACTCAGCCCAATTGCATTACAGTGATAATGGTAGTATAACAGTCTCAGAGAGATATTCACTGGCACAATGAAGCTTAGAGAAACACTGATCTGTCCAAGCACTGGATATTTTTAAACCTTTATTAAAAGTATTTCATTTCAATGAAGGTGCTCTTGGTGCAATGCCTCCTTGTCCCTGGTGCCTTTCTACTTAATTAAAGAGATGCCAGTGACATCAGAGTATAACTAATGACGTTTTCTCTCTCAGTTGACCATCAGTATGTATAATTCTCAGCATTGCCCCTTTTGTGGATACTTAATTCTACAGACTGGAGCCATGAACTGAGAGGACAGATTCCTTCTATAAATCTGAGAAAAGCCTCAGTTTGCAGAAAAATGTGAAATCTTTTTTTTTTTTTAATTGGGCAGGTTAAAACCTTCTGAAATGATAGAAGCAGCCCCCTGTAGCTTTAAGAAACAAATGCTCTCAGTGCCCATTACTACCACAACAGTATTGCCAACCTTCAAGCCTTGGTCTCTGCCAGTAAAAGGTAGGTGGAAGGGCAGGACCCTTTCGAGGGCTGTTTTGGTCTTTGAATAAGGTTGCCAGGTCCCTTTGTCATGCCGGCAGGAGGATTCAGGGGGTGTTCTGGGGGTGGACAGAGATGTCAGCTATGTCAGGGCAATGCTCTGCTTTTGGGGCAAAACTCTATAGTAAAAATGGCCTCAAACCATAGAGTTTTGCCCAAAATGCAGTGTCACACACACACACCCGACGTCACCGATGCGCTGATGTCACTTCTAGGTGATGTCAGCATGTCACACACAGCATCAGGGTGGGGGAATTTCCTCCCACCGGCCAGCTGGCCAGCAGCGGGCAGAAGCCCACAAAATCCCCCACCCCCACCTGGGGAATGGTATCCCTATCTTTGAAGGAGGACTCATCAAGGCCAGACCTGGCAACAACTACTCAGAGACTTGCTAGTACATGACTTGCATGACTCACCTAGGCCCAGATGCTCACTTCTGTTCACCAGCAGACACCCCACCATAGCTACTGTGGTCTAATGGTTAGTTTCAGATTAGGATCTGGGAGACCAAGTTTGTATCCCCTCCCTGCCATGAAAGTTCATTGGGTGACTTTAGGCCAGTCACACACTCAGTGAATCTACCTCACAGGATCGTTGTGACGATAAAATGAAGGAGAGAATGATGTAAGCTGCTTTGGACCCCCATTGTGGAGAAAGGCCCAATAAATGTAGCTGGAGATGGGGGACAGATAAAAGGTAGGTTGGCTGGTGGGTGGAAGGAAAGAAGGAAAAAAGAGAGGCAGAGAGGCTATGGGAGCTTTCAATAAAGAGAAAATAGTGGGGGAGATGAAAATGAGATATCCCCTGAAAGTCTTTGCAGGTTGACCTGTTGGTTTCTATCTGTTTCAATTGCTCTAATCTCTGGCTATGTAACTAAGACTGTCCCGAGCCTTTCATTCCTTTCCTTTCCAGAGAAATTCTCAGGCCCCAGGAATACCCTCTGACATACTCTAACTCATTGGAAGGATTAACTCTGAACTCACTGGGTGCAGTCAGACGGCGTGCTGAGAGCAGGTTAAACTGCTCCGGTTCTGACCTGATTATATTTGATCTGGATAATCGCAATCACACTTACCTCCCTTATCCCACCTCACCGTTCAGTCACATCACTCCCCAGCATCTACACTACCGACGCACGGTCAGCGGGAGCAAGTGTTGGCGGGTTTTTAAAATTCTTTCTCAGTTTGCGCATCCACATAGGCGCTCATCCATAGAATGGGGGGGGCGAAACTACCATGGCGCATGCGCAGAACCACCAGGGTGAATCAATCCAACCCCTCCAACAAAAGACCTCCCTTTAAACGTTTGACCCGAAAATGGCCTCTGTGAGATCCCGAACTCATCTAAACTCTAAAAGAAGTGACCGTTTAAATGTTGGTTTTCTAAACACGGTAGTGGAGTTCTGCCTATGTGCACACCGCCGATGCTAAAAAAAAAAAAGCAGGCAAAAAGCGGAAGCCTCAGGCAGCTTTCGAGCGGGGAGGGGGTTTAAACCGGAAGTGGTTTGACACCGGAGGAGCGATCACACAGGGGGGAAATGTGGCTTTAAACGGGAGAGCTAACACCACTTTGGGACCTGGTAACAAAATACTCCGGGTTAAAGTGGTTTTGAGCTGGAAACCAACAGCTGGGGATGGGAGGCAGATGTTGACTGTCTGATCGTGCATATAAAATCCGTTTCTGAAGCGTGATGAAAGCGGATCAAACAGCCCGTCTGAACGCACCCACTGATATTCCCATCCCCTTCCCAAACTTGGGAAGATCAAATGTTTTCTATTATTCCTCACCCCATATATCTAAAGCTGCAATTGTCCCCTACTTTGTGCTTCATACCTGCCTCTTGTCACAATTCACTCTGCTGTGCACCCTGAGTTTTGGCTCCCTTACTATATTCACCGCTGTCTTGTATGGCCGACTCTGTGCTTTATCCTGAACAAGAGTGCTTTACCTGGATATTGTTCTTAGATTCCCACTCTGAACTCAGCACCCATCTTTTAACTACATACCCCTTTGTTTAAGCAGTTCCAGAGATTCATACTCAAGAACCTCGCCAGACAACCCCCTCACTCAGGACCCTGTCATGTTAGGTAACACAATTTTATATGTATTTATGCACTGCTTTTCTCTCCAGTGGGGACCCTAAGTGGCTTACAACATCATTCTTCCCTCCTCTATTTTAACACCACATCGACACTGTGAGATGGCTTAGCCTGAGAGACAGTCCAGAGTCAGTCAGATAGCTTCCAAGGTAGAGAGGGAATTTCAACCTGGGTCTCTGAGATCCTAATTCTAACACACCAACTAGTACACCATCTCTTTCTCCACTGCTTCTCCTCTCTATTCCTCTCTTGAGTTTATAAATTGTACCACTGTGCATGTTATTATTTGGAATATTTACATTTGTTGTGGGCAGTTTTCAATACTTTTTACATAACTGATATTATTCTAACTGCATGAGTATATTATACATTCTGCTAAATGAAACTCTGTTTCAATAGCCCACATTTCAGTATTTCCCTAGGACCTTTGTCCTTTTGTTAAATGATCCTTTACAAACTCTGTGTGTCATCCTATGTATACTCCAGGTGTCAAAAATGAAGCCCACAGCTCTGATGAACAAGACTGAGTTTCTGTGAAAGAAAGGTCTCTTTATTTTGCTTGGCTCCCCAAAGTGAATTTGAACCCAACTGGGAAATGGGCCTCATTCACACAGACACATTAGTAGAAACATCAGCAATAAGAAAAAAAACACCCATGAATAAACATGACAAAATAACAGTGAACAATATTTCATCAAAATTGGCAACAGTTATCCTCACTAATGGCAAATGTCAGCTCATATAGGATCCTCAATCACATTCTCAGCTCTGTCAATCAGAACATCACTTTGAACGTGCCAAGAGCAAGCAATCTATAGAACACAGTTTGAGATATGAAAGGATAGCACACTGACGTCATTCTGATCCTATTAGTACACTGAAAAATGTCCTGGAAAGGGCCATTTTCCTCGTTTCCTCATTTTTAACAACTACTTGCCATTTACCCTTGAAAAGCAGCCTTTTCAAAGCATCAATGAAATAAGACAAGTAACACTGATTCTTCTTTTGAGGTATATTATAAAGTGAAACAGTATTCCCAGGTAAGGATACAATTAATAAAAACCAGGATCATCAATAATGTTAGCAGAAAGCAACTCTGATCTCTCAAGAATGTGATGGGAAATGGGATTTATGCTTTTGTCCTCATTCTCTATCCTATTATTTAAGAACACAACCACAGAAAAACAGCTACAGTTCTTTTATCATGATGACAAACATTACACACCTGATGACAAGAATCCCTATTAGTTAGCCTTCTTCTAAAGCAGAATAAACAGAACAAAAGACAAGAGCACAAAACTATAAAAATGAGGAATGAATTTTTTGAATAAAAACCCTTGCCCTTTAATGCTTTTAAAATATACTGCCTTTCCCCATATCATTAGAAATGTTTAAAATATGAATGTTATAAAATACATGCTATGAATGTAATAACTACTTCCCCAAAGTTTATGGTTGGTTATGTTAGTGTTTGTATGGAATATAATCTTGTATTTATATTGCTAATTGTAAGCTGTTATTGTTGTATAAAATATATCTTCAAAAAAAGAAAATACATGCACTCCCTAGGTTTTTTCCTCCTCTCTTGCCACTGGAAAATATAGTCCTACCCTCAGTCTGCATAAATGCTATAAATTATTTAGAGACATGGGAGCCATCTCAACTACTTACCTGCTCCGTCTCTACAAAGTTAGACACGTGCCCATCGTCATTTACTCCTCGTATGTGAAACCGGGCACCGGCTCGTTCACAGCTGATCCGGGAGATGAGACAGGCTTTTGCCTTCTTGTGAGAGGCATAAACAGTGCGAATGTCCACCACACCACAAATTACTTTTAAGAGCCAATCGGAGCAATTCACCTGGTAATGTTTAAAGGGCACATGCAACAACTGGTTCCTGCAAGATTCAACAATGCAATTCACTACATATGCCATACATCAATCTCCAAAGAAAGACTCTAAATTCCTTGACGACTAATCAAACAGGTGCTGTGATTTTCCCAGTATTGCCTATTTCACTTGATTTTATCTAGAACCTGCCAGAAAGCCAATAATATCAAGAAGATAAACTCTGGCAATGGTTCTTCTGTGGTAACAGAAACTCACATATTTGTGACATCAGCTGTGACTTGAAAATTTACAGTTTAGATTCCAGTGTTTTCAAGTCACACAATCACCTTTTGCAAACAAATCCAAGGATTAAATTTCCACAGGAGTGATATAATAGAAGTGTTATAATCTGTATTCTGCAGTAAAACTGTGTAACTTGGGGTATACCAATCTAAATGCCATTTTGTTGATGATAATCCCTGTTTTTGCAATCCCTTGGGAGGCAAAAAGAATATGAGGTTTGTCAAGTCCCTAGTGGCCTGCATTTGGCTGGCAGGTTGAGTTCAGGGCAATGGGTTACAAACCATGCAGATTAAATTATATTAGTAGTTATATTCTTCAGAGATCATAGATATTTATTCACAGGTCTGAAATAATTGATTGTTTCTCAAAAAAACTAATATAATTACCTGATCAGTTATATTTTAAAATATATTAAAACGGACAAATGAAATACAGTTCTTTGCAAAAAGGTATTTTGTAGTGTTTGTGTGCCCATATGAATGTATGTGTGTTCAGCTTCAAAACCACATTATTTGGTGGCAATTCACTGATTTATCTGTTTTTTAATATTTTAGTGTTGTACTGATAGTCATATCTTCTTGAATAAGGAACATGCATAAATACTGTCACAGCTTCATATGTAAGCCTTTAATGACAATGGTTTTCTGGGAAAAGTGCACACTGTGCTTAACTTACACTTGCAAACAATTTATGTCCCTTTATGCTACATTTTGATGCTGATGACACATGTTGTCTATCACATTGTGCCCACTGATTTCCAAGGGAAATTTGAGTATCCGTTTAAATCTGCCCCTGAAATCAGTGGAACTTAAATTTTGGCTGAATCGTACCAATCGCATATAGGATAACAAAGTCAAGGAAAAATATCTTTATTAAATATAATCAAGATGCCTTTCATATAAACCAGTGGTTCTATAACCTCCTTGGATCTATGAATTATAGAAAGAGAGCAATACATAAATAAATAACTTTAAAAGCTTTTAGCAAAGCCCTTCAATACACAAAGTACAACATTGTCTATATGAATGTCAAAGGATTGCTTTATCAAGGTAACTTGACGTCAGAGCATTTGAAAATTGCTTCAATAAATTATTTACACCAGCTTACATTAACAGAGATCTGCACCACTGCCCTGGCTCAATCATTTCTCACTCTGCCTTGCTACTGATACTTATCTCCACAGGGCTAAAGAGAGGAGCCTAATTCACCGAAGCAGCAGTTTCAGGTGTATCTCTGCTGAGTACATTATATAAATATACACTGCATACATTATGCACCACTTAAAATTTATTATTTAAAATTTTAAAAATAAACTGTATTGGACTTCTCAGTAAAAAAACAAAACAAGCACACAATCAGAATATCATACAAATGCTCAGGATTTTTTTGCAAAGACTCTATTCCCTCATATGTGTCTTAACATAAGCCTTGTTCATGCATCTGGCATAGTCTCAAACTCACATACCCTTGTTCACATTAAAAATTCCAACCACAACGTGGGAAAGCATGAGAGGCTGAAGATTACTCCCATACCCAGCTACCTGTAAAACCTACACACTTGGGCCCTGTGTGAACCAACCAACCAACCAGAGAGCTGGTTATTGCTGTATAAATAAGCAGCACAATCCTATTTCCTACTGAGAATCTGGATCTTACTCTCATTTTTGCAAGGGATTATCACCTACACTTTCTAAATATGATGTGTTCCCTTTCACAAATACAAAATCTCCATTTATAATATGAAGCTTTCTACCAAAATGCTCTGTATCTAGGAAGCATCTCCACCCGTCATGATTGACCTGTGCAAGAAATGCCTAAGGATTCAGAATTTAGGGCTGATTGCTAAAAGACTGCCCAAAACTAGTATGTAACATGCACTACTAACCAGAAGAATGAGTTTCCAGTTCCATAGTTGTGATCACCCTGTTTCTGAGCTCTGACAGTGAGATCAAAGTTTGATCCTGCATTTGGCCAAGAGAAATAGAACATTCCAGAATTCAGCATTTTCTTCAAGGCAGCAACACGATCCTCTTCCTTAGTTTCTTCCTGGAGAGGACAAAATTCTGTTGCTGTGATTTTGAAAACTTCACCATCAAGGATTTTCCCCACTGACGTACAGCCTGTCACGAGGACCAGAAAACGCAGAGTGGTGTTGCCTAGAAAGTGACAGGTACATCACAGTTACACAGAAGTATAAACTACTATAAAGGGAGCCAGTCAGTCTCTTGCAGTCATTTACATTTTGTCTTTCAGAAAATACAAAGAAAGCCTTGTTAATGCTACTTGTTTTTTA